GCCTCACTTAATCCCACCCCCCCCGCCAGGGGCAGTGATGCCTTCCATTAGATCAGGTTGCTCAAAGCCTCATCCCGCCTGGCCTTGAATTGCTCCATTGCTGGGTCTGTCGCTTCTGGTGTTTGTCATCCTGCGTTGGCCATCCCAGCTCCTACCTGCAAGAAGGGGCTCTGTGTGACTCCAGGGCTTGGAGACAATGTCCAGTCTCCTGCAATGACTCATTGCTTGGGAGTTCCCAAGTCTGAGCAACTAATTTACCAATGATTTTGCCTCTTATTAGAATCTAACGTTAATTTGGAAAAACACTTCCACCATGAGGGTGGTCAAACACTGGAACAGGAACCCAGAGAGGTTGTAGGGTTTCCATCCTTGGGGATATTCAACATGTGACTGAAGAGGGCCCTGAGAAACCTGATCTAGTCCCTTCTGATTTAAATTACTCTGTAATTCTGTCATTATGAGCTCTGTAGGTCAGGACCCATTGCACCATTGCTTCTCCAGGTGCACTTCGTATGTGATCATTTACCCCCACCCTCTCCAAGAAGCCCACGAGGGTCGTCAGAGTCAAGGAGCAGCCTTCTGGTTTTATTATCATTGTTTTATTTCCATTAGTTCTAAAGGTGTAGAAGTTACGTGGATTGGTAGCAATACTACATCATAATATATATTTTTTTACATCTTTAAATAATTACAGCTTGTTCAGTTGGTTGGTTTCCCTCTCCCCCTTACAAGTAAGTGTCTGTTTCCATGGGACCTTCCCAGCTGACCTGGGAAGCTTCAAACTTTATACACGGGGAGAAAAAAAGCAAAACAAAACACCACCCCTGACATAGTCACAGCTTCAATGTTATATTAAGAGTTGTTGATTGGTTTTAAAGCTCCCTTACAATATTCCTGAGCTCCTCCTGATTGCACCCTCTCCAGCCAGCCCGTAAGATTGCAAGTGAAATATGGATCTCTTATGATCAATTTACAAAAGGATAACTGAAGTGATTCAAGATATTGCACTTCCACAAAGAGGAAAGACATATAGAAATGGTTAAATGACCTTTCTACCCCTCCGGCTCCCCGTCCTGGTTCTCAACTGCCCATCTCACTCTGGTGACCACTGAGCCATTGCAAAGGTCTGGTTTGGCACAATCAGATCTTGTGCTGCAAACCCTTCGACATCAAAATTTGCACGTGTGATTAATGATGACCTCTAAGGGAACAAGTCCCGCAAACGCATTTATATACGTACTTAAGTGTTTTGCACTGGGCCCTTCCCTTTCACTCCTCAGGACAGGGATAGTTCTCGGTCCTGCATTTGTGTAGGACCTGGCCTGGTATGGTCCTCACTAGGTTCTCCAGCCATGCTGCAATGAAATAAATTATTGCAATAATAGCAATAATTATCTTGCCTTAACGAGTCTCTAATAATTGTGTCTAATTTCATTAGCAAAGCAGGCTCTAAGTGCCATGGGAAGGAAAGCAGAGCTCAGATGGAACCCTGAATTTTGTAAGTAAGTTGCCCCTCTTGTTAGAATGAGCTGAGTCTCCTGAAACTGGTAGCACTTTTATCCTCTCGTCCTGTGAGTATCCATTCATCTGCCACTTCTGGTGTTTGTCATCCTGCGTTGACCAATGCAGCTCCTACCTACGAGAAGGGGCTCTGTGTGACTCCTGGGCTTGGAGACAATGTCCAGTCTCCTGCAATGACTCATTTTTTGGGAATCCTGAAGTCTGAGCAATTAATTTACCAATGATTTTGCGTCTCATGAGAATCTAACATTAATTTGGAAAAACATTTTCACCATGAGGGTGGTCAAACACTGGAACAGGAACCCAGAGAGGTTGTAGGGTTTCCATCCTTGGGGATATTCAACACTTGACTGAACAGGGCCCTGAGAAACCTGATCGAGTCCCTTCTGATTTAAATTACTCTGTAATTCTGTTGTTACAAGCTCCCTAGGACAGGACCCATCTATTATGGTGTGTTTGTACAGCACCTAGCATGATGGTGCTCCATCTGAGATCAGCCTCTCACCATCTTGATATCAGCGTTGGCCAGAATATGGCAAATGCTCCTGGACCAACAATAGCTCTACAGCAGTTTTGGGTGATTGAAAAGAACAACAGAACCAGGCGTATCTGGACTTCTACTGTTTGTGGTGCAAAAGAGGGGACAAAAGATCTAATTTCTACCACTGAAGAGAGCCAAGTTGTCCTCACAGGCCCCAGAGCCCCACCTTTTGAAAGCAGACATCTTGTTCTGTTGTCAGGGTCCTTGTAAAGGCTCCTCACTGTGTTTCAAGAATTATTTTTAAGGCTTTGAGGAAGGCTGAGAACCAGTTAACAGATCTCTACCATGGTCATTTAGATAACCTGAGGGAGCATAAGGCAGGCTTATGTCCTGCAGGGGTTTTCCCCTCATGCATTGCAAGCAGACTCCTTCATGGCATCTCAGAGTGTGTTTTAAGGGCAGGAGAAAAATTCAGCTGGGGAGTTTAGCTTTGAGGGCAGTAGGAGGAGCGCAGTAATAAGGCAAGGTAGACAGAGCCTCTGGGAGCATCCGTATGGAAAGAGAAATGGGGCGCATGGTTGGTCTGGACTTTAGCTCCTCTCCAGGAGGCCACCTGCTCCCCTCCCTCTCAGGTTGTCCAGGGTGGTTCTAAGTATCTCAAATGTGTGCATGAGCCAAGTGGCATCTTTGTGGTGCATGCTTCTCTGTTACGGTCAGGAATTCACAGCCAGATCCCAAGAGAGCTCAACTGCCATTTACAAAGGAATATAGTTCAAGGAGGAGGCTGGCTAAAGACCTGCATGCCTGGGGAGAAACGCCTTTATGTTTTCACCCCAAATTCATATTTTTAGGTGCTATTTCTGGCCTCTTCTCTGCAGTCTACCAGGCCTGAGCAGAATCACAGAATTTCATTTATTTTTATTCATGTTTCATGAATGTCTTTTTCTTGTCTGTAATTAGCACTAATGAGGCTAGACTCTGCATTAGCTCAGCAAGACAAAGTGGAAACTCTGGTGCAAACACCATCCAGCCATTCCCATGGCATCACTGCCATGGTGTTTTTCTCTGTGGAGTGCAGAGGCTCTGTCACCGCTCCAAAACCCTGCAAATCTGAGTAATGCAGAGCACAGAGAATGTGGAAGGGTCCAGGTCTCTACCGTGACTTCAGTCCCAGTCTTCATCACAACCAGTCCAGCTGAATCCTTCTCCTTAAAGAAGCTTTTCTACCATCAGGAGGAAAATGGTGACTTCAAACAAAGACAATACAATGCCATTCTTCTGCTTCAAACATGTATGTGCCTTTCTTCTTCACCAAGCCATATATCTTGGTGTTTGGGTGGAAACACTCTTTGTAGGAATGTTAAACAGTGGGAGACAGAGGATAGCACATTTGGGAGGGATGCACAATCCCTCTTCTAGATTTTCACTCGGTAGTTCTGTACTCGAGTTGTGAATGCAGGGAGGAAAGAGAGGAGCTGGGAAGGCAAGAAGAGTAACAGAGTTTGGGAGTGGAGAGAAACAAGAGCGGAGAATCTTGTAGGATGAGGTCTCCCAGAAATTCTCTGCCTGGACAGGCAAAGCTGTCCCTCCTCAGAAATGTTGATGCAAACGGCATGGCAAGCGTCTGGTGAAGCATTCAGACTGCACAGGGGAGCTGTGGCATCTGCGATGGTGAAGTTTGTTAAGCACATGCTAGAGGAGGAGCAGTCAGGGCAAGGTTAGGTAGAATTGATCCCTTTGGGAAAAGGTAATGAGTCAGTGAGCTCTCAGCATCTCTTCCAACTCCTTTTGCTAGGATTCCCTGATTGCTGAGAGCCTTATGGGCAAGAAAAAACGCGAGTCTTGTTTAATACTCTTGCATGAATGGAGTTATGCTTCTCTTGCAGACAAGCAAGTCTATGCACATGCTTGGTAAAGACAACAGCCCCTGCCTACCTCCATTAGAGGGTGAAGCCTTTGCTTGTTGCAAAAAGTGAAATCCTAAAGGGTTAGATGTGTGAAATGGTTATGAGCCAGCTGTTAGCAGGACAGTGGGCACTCACAGTACAGCCGAAAATAAATGACAATCAGATTTCATCGATGACATCTAAACCAACATAAAAGTATGCAAAATAATTAAATTAACTGTCTCAAAAGCATTAGAAGAGCATCTTTCACTTGCTGTGCTCTTGAATAATCTCTAAGCCTGGCTTGTAGCTATCCATAAGGGAAGAGCCCAGCAATTTCCTCCAGGATTTGATGACCAACGTGGGTCTCCTCTACCTGATTCAGAAGGTTCCTCCTTCCAAAATCCCCCTTTGACTTTGGACAGACCTTCTCCAGGCTCAGCCAACAACGTTTTGGAAAGACAGTCCCATGATTTTGTAATGATAAATAGGAAAGGAGTTACTATTAAATATGGACATTCATTAGGTTTTCAGACCATTTAGGAAAATGAAGACAAAGCTCTAGATGTGTGAGCTGAGGATGTGTGTGGGGGAGGGTCTCTTTTTTTCTCTGCCCTAGATCATATCAAATTCACTAAAGCCACCACAGCATGTCTAGTGAAGCCTGTTGAACAAAGTGTTCTGGAACTGGCTGCATTTGGTGGAAGATCACTGAATTTGGGTAATGAGAAGAAGATGGCATTTTCTTCTGGTCAGGAAAAGAACGGATAGTGACAGAAGAAAAAAAGTGTCTCTGTTCCACCATCGTCTGAGTCTTAAATGCCAGATGTTTTTAAATAAACAAAACTCAAGAACTGTGTCCATCTTTGTTTTCTGGCTATTTCATAGAAGGTGGTGACAATCAAATAGAGAGGCTCATTTAAAGTGGGAAAAAAGGCTTCACATCCATTAGTTACTTTGAGATTTGAGTCTTCTCTGTTTGTTTCATAAGAGCTCTCCTACACCTCATATAAGTCCTCTTTACCTCTTTGCTGGACATCTCACAAGGGGATAGAAGGCAGGAGAGCAGGGGAGGTGGGAAACAACATTGACTTGATGATTACATGGCATCTTCTTCATCTCTCAAGCAGATTAGCCTGAAGTCCATGGGTGGAAGACCAGGTTATGCAGTTATGATGTCCCCGTGGTTTTCAGCTAACACCAGGCTATTCCAGGAGTCCTGTTTGGAGCTGGTTTGTGGAGACTGGCTGATAGCTGACTGGTAAGCCTGTGGGGAAAGCTTCAGAGCTGAAATCGCAGGGTGAATAGATGATCCATGTCCAGACATGGCAGAGACTGAGAATGCCTATGGAAAAAGGAAAATCCTGTGAACAAAGCTTCAAACCATAGAGAACCCTATGAGTCCTTTTATGGGACTCATATTGTAATAACATCTCTGCGGGTTTGCTGTAGAGCTGCAGATTGCAGCTTATGCATGATACTTTGGACAGGCTCTTTCCTTCTTGTTCCAGACCCTGTTCTTTCCTATTACTGCATACAGGGCATCTTGTTCTCTTCTAAATGTCAGAAAAGATCATTTTACCTCCCAAGGCTTGAGATTTCATCGGCCTTGGGCTCTCCTAGCTTACAAATAGCCTCCTGTAGATTGCAGGGCACATAACAGTGCTGCAAAGTGCTGCAGGTGCAGGATCAGTCCAGCGCAACGCTCAACCACATGTTTTTTTTCTCCAGGGATCATTTTGTTTAGACCTTGGAGTTCGCTATATGAACATAAAAGGAGAGCAACTGTCATATACCTCTGCGTCTTAATCGTGCCGTGCTATGAGGATCCTTAACCAAGGCACAGTTATTAAACCTGCAGACATTCGCACAGATCAGCTTCCAGATCCGGGTGTTGCTCAGCAGGATATGCACCTTGTGTGGATGCAGTGCTGGTCCCAAGACATCTAGTGGTGGATATGGTAAAGAGCACACCATTTACCCTGCAGCTCTCTGTTATCGTGCTGGCTTGCTTTACCTTTGCAGGGACTCGACTCGGTTAGATTTGGGCTGTGTGAGTTTATTCTCCTCACACTGCATTTCTCATATCACTCAACACGCAGCCAACCAGTGCAGAGAAAGCAGGGTAATATGGCCAAGTTTTTCCTTGCTCAGGACAAATCAAATCAAATCATACAATGGTAACGGGCATTTTCTTGCTATGAGACCTACATAGCTGCCCAGCTAGAAGGAATTTCATGTTTTCAACAAAGCTGCTACTTCTTGTTGTCCATTCGGAACTGCCACACATCATTAAAAAGCTGTAGATATGGTGACAAGAATGTGGGGTTTTGCCCCATCCTGGAGGATAGATCTCTTACAGTGAACTCCTAGACCCCTGGGTTGAAAAGAGGTTTCGAGGATGTTCCACAGAGGTTTTGAGGATGTTCTTCTCACCATGTCTACCATCCTAGTTCCCATCTTTGTCCCACTGCCAGCATCTCGCCTCTGTACCTGAGAAATTGGGCTGGGGTGCCCATAATGAGATGAGAGCCCAGGTTCTGTTTTTATGGGGCGCATTTCCTCAGTGGTCGTGGCACTGCTGCTGCTGCTGGTGGAGCTGGTGGTTGGAGTAAGACTCTCGCTGCTGGACGGACCTGTGAGAAGGAAGACAGTAAACCAGGCTCTTCCCAAAGACCTTTCAGTACAGAGCTGTACCCACCCACACAAAGCTAGTATAGGCAAAAATAAAAAAAAAAGTGGTCGGAAGGGCTTTCAGACATCCCCCGTTTTTGAAGAATCAGCCCCATTTTGTGGTTGGGTGTCTGACTCACAGGCCATGATGGTCAGAAACACAAGTGCACACACATATACACGTACAACAAACTCCCTCATTCAACACTTACCTGCTGGCGTCTTTGTTTTGTTAAGGTTCTTTGGCTTGCGCTTCCTCGTCTGAATGCCCTCTTTTCTCATTGCTAAAGGCCTTGGAACCTACAGACCCAAATATAAAAGCACATTGGTTTCTGTATGTCCATGTATGTCCTGTATGTCATCTAGGAGAACGTGATTCCAGCTCTACCTTGTAGGCTCCATGAAAAACAGCTGATTCAATTGAAAGCAACAACAAGATGGAGCCCAAATTCACTGGTCAGCACTGCTGTGTGAAGAGATATGTCAAAGCTACAAGATGTGCATCCAAATGGGAATAGATAGGGTTTCCACACCATAGGTATAGAGTGTTTCAAGGCCAGAAGGGAACAGCAGCTCATCTGATTTATTTTCCTGTTTAACTCAGAGCAGAAAACGTCTTTCTGGCTAGGGACCAAGCCTGTGTGGGGAGACCTCCCTTAGGAACTGATCCCACTGAGATAGTCACCCTCATGGTCAGAAACACGCTGGAATTTCTAGAATAATTTGTTGGGTTAGGTAAGGCTTCCCCTCATCCACCTTGTCTTCCAGCTTTGACCTGTCTCTCATGAATGCTCTTCCATCCGCTCTGAAGCACTGGAAATCCTTGAGAGCATGGATATGTATAAAAAAACCTGTAGGAGTAGCAATGAGAAGGAGAACGGGGGTTTGCTACTAAGCAATCGCCAGGGTGTTGAAGGCCTCTGTCTCTGCCATGGGGGATGGCCCTGTTGCCACTGACTGGTGGGAAAAGGACTGGAGATTTGCATCTTGAAGTCCTGCTATGCCTTAGACTCCAACGGGACTCTTCTAGATATATCAGACATGATATGTATACATGACTATCTGGACACCCGTGCAAGAAAAGTCATCGATCACTCCCATGTCAAGTCTACAACCAAGTCCTAGCTAGGATCTGACACCCCGTGTGGGTGTCTTTGTGCTTCTGACTCAGATTTTTCACTAAAGTGCCTGAATTTAGGTGGGAAGAATCTGGGCCTAGTTTTATTGGGTTTTAAGACTTGGATGCACAGGGTAGCTAATTAGTATGTGAGAAATGCCCTGCATGCATCATCCCTTGCCAGTATAAACATGATGTAATGTTGAGAGGGACCAAAGCCCAGAGGGGCAGCAGGAAAAACAGCTCCAGGAGAGCACCGAGTTGTGCAACGAGCCCAATCCCCAGCTTGGTGCTATCGATACCCTCCCCATAAAGAGTAAAGATCAACGACGGTGTTACCCCATGGAGCTTCATGTAGAGTCCGCAGGCGTTACAGACGGGCTCTCCCTCGGCATTTCTGCGCCAGAGCGTGGTTGTCGTTGTGTGGCAGTTGGCACAAGAGAGGCCGACGCGGCGAGAAGCCGACTGCGAGAAAATGCAGAGGAAGAAAACACATCAGCCCTCCACTGCTGCCACCGGCAGCATCTCAGATCCCAACGAGTTCGCTCCAGCGCGCCTCAGGTTTTCCTCTCCTCTTGCCACTCTTACTTCTCTGCCTTTTTCTCTTCTCACCTTGCTGCAATACACAGTTGCCTTTTTCTTCCCCTCTTGCCTTTCAGCTCTGCTCCACTGCCTTTCCACTGTCTCCTGCCTGCCAGCACTGTGCAGACATCTCAGCTGTCCTGGGGCATCTCAGATGGTGCCAGAGACATCACCTGAACAGAGCCCCAGATCTCCAGTAGGTCTAGTAGCAGCTTAGAGACCCGCTACATGTGCACACACCTACATTAAGGTGTCTGGATCTCAGACCGTCCTGCCCTTTCATGCTCCCAAGCCCTTCACCTTCCAAGCATCATGGCATATCCCAAGAAGACATTATCAATGCCATGAATGTTACATACTCCTTGCTGGCTTTGCGTGATGTTGCTCGTGAGGCTTGAGGGGGAGATAAGAAAAAGAGTGCTTCCAGCAGCATCGTCTTCCTAAAGATAAAGAGGGATAATTAATAGGAAACCACACTAATGAAGCAGTACAGGGAACAGGCCTTTTGAAGTTCCCTTTCTGGGTCAAGTGGTTTAGCCAGGCTCAAAAGGCCACAGGATGAAGACAATGGGCTTGAAACCATATAAAATACCAGTTTTGAGCTTGGAAGCAGAGTGGGAGGTGGGGGAAGAAAAAGCCACATCCTCCACACCTGCCTGACTCTTCCCAGCATCCTTCAAAGCTCAGGTCGGAAGAGGCTGAGGATAAAGTCAGGACGGGCTGGGGTCAAATTCCCTCTTTGATAAACTGGGGACTGAACAGAAGTGCTAGAGCTGTGTGAAGATGCCTGTTCTCGCTGTGCCTGATGAGGAGCCTATAGGGAGGAAATCTGGTGGTCTTGGACATCTACCCAGCTCTGCAGACCCAAACAGCAGAGCTGGCAGCTGTGTAATGGGGTGAAAGCCTGGGAGATGAGGACCTGGCAGCTACCAGGGATTTCCTCTGTGATCTTTGCCACAGCTTTCTCTCTGTGTCTTCTCCCTTATTATAAAACAGGATCAGTTTTAAATCTACAGCAGCAGGACAATAAAAAGTGAAATTCAAGTACTTCTTAAGACTTTGAAAGCTGGAAACCCCTTTGGTGCAGAGAAACCAAACACTGCTTTAGTTGTAACCTCAACATGCATTAGCTTCAATCATCGGCCTTTGTAAGTGGACAGAGAGCTTAAAAGAGAGCTTGCAGCAAAGGCAAAGATATTCCCTTTCAGGGCTCTCTGTCATATCGCAGTCTCCGAAAAAAGGGGTTACACAGTGACAGATTAAACCCAATCACTTATACTGAATATATTTATTCAGGTAGACCAATTGTCATTACTTTAACCACACCCCTACGTTGCATCCCTAGACATATCCTCCTTTTCTTCATGGAAATTCTCTTCCAGAAGAAAAAGCAGGAATTCGGCCATTTTTGTAAGATTTCCAGATTGCCATCTGCCCAGCCAAGTGGCAGGAACGCATGCACAGATCTGCACAGATCATGCATTTATATTTCTCATGGGGTTTTCCAAGCCTTACCCCAAGGCTGTGCATTGTTGCTTGCTCCAAAGGACCAAGCCTGGTACCCAACGGGCCATTCCTGACTACACAGATGTGCTCACGGATAACCAGTAAATGAAACAGGGCAAGGGCCTGGGTGCCAGGGTACAGAAACAGCCTGGCTCAGTCAGTGCAATGTCTAAGAAGGGGTTTTCACAAGAGGGCGCTGGGTGGCTGTGGCTGATAGCAGCGCTCAAGCTGCCAGTGTCATTTTTGACACTTGCAGGGGACGTCTGGGTTTGAGCACAGACAGGTCTAGGCAATGCAAAGGGCAGGGCAGGTTGGGGATGGAGCCTCATGGAAGACAAGGAGTGGGGAAAAGATGGCCCTCAGGGATGGCTTGCTGGCTCTTTGCTGCCTGGGATCACGATGGCCTCGTGTCCTGGGGCCCAGACTACAGAGACCTTCCCAAAACCCCTCACCAAAACAGGCAGGGACAGGTAGATTATCAACACTGAGATGTTCCCATCCCCCAGGTTCCCATACCCCATCCTGACCCCACAGGCTTTGGGATGCCCTGACCTGCCCCACAAGTCACCCAACGGAGCCGGGATCATGGTATCCAGAAAAGGTGGCCAGTCGCCATGAAGCGAATAAGGACCCTGAGGGTAAGAGAAGATGGACTGCTGGTGTGGTGGAGCTGGAAATGGTTTCCATTCATCCTAATATGCCTACAGGGATACTAAAGCAAAGATTGGCTTTTGCTAAACCGACACCATGGTACTGCCCCTGTGTTCTACAGCCCCTTCTACCGCCTGGCCTGGGTGTCTGCAGAACTGGTCTGGACAGTACAAGGTCTTGGAGTGTACCAAGCACGAGACAATCTGGCTTATTTTGGAAATTTGGACCAAAACCACCTAGGTTGGGCAGATGGGGACCCGAGGACTTGAAACACCCCTGGCATCTCCACCCAGCCGAGGTCTTTTTGCCTCATCCTCACACACAACCTTGCCCCACATGCGTTATGTGATCTTGACTTACCAGCCTCCTCTGAGGTTTGAACAAAGGCCGGTTGATGCCATTCATCTTGTGGTAGAGCCCGCAGGCGTTGCAGAGGTAGTGCCCCGTGCCGTCTCTCCTCCAGAGCGGGGTGGACATGGCTCCACAGTTGACACATTCTCGCCCCTCTGAATAATCATCAAAAAATTCTGCTGCCATGATGGGAGACAATGGAAAAGACTTGATTAATTAGGTGGCTGTACATTTAATTTCCGGTCTGATTCTCAGTATTTGAGCTGAGAAGTGACATTTCAAGAAATCACAAACATTCTGATTTTATAGGGTGCAAGAAACAACTCTTCCTTTCTCAAGGAAGCCCCTGGGATTATTGGGAAGAGGAACCCCTTTGCCTGCCATACAGTGTTGGCTGCAGGACTTCTGTGGCAGCAGGGATGTGCTGGGACACAGATACAAGGAGACAGAAATAGAAACCTTCCCTTCTGCTCTGACGTTATCCAATTTTCAAGATTGGACATAGCCAGGGCAAACAGATTGGGGCAGGCGAACAGCCGTGTTTACAATCAAGACAAATTGCCTGCAACCACGGACAAACACAAGCCCAGACCCACGAAGCAGAACTGCCCAGAGACCAGAGAGCTGCCCGGGCATCTCTCAACGGGGCTCAAGCAAGTGTGGGCAGGGAAAGCCGTGCCGGTACGCCCTGCTCCCCCGCAGGACTGCTCCTCACCCAGCCCATGCCAGCTCCCACCCGGCCCCTCCGCAGAGGAATCGCTGCAGAGTGCCAAGGGGGAGAGACGTTCACGTGCCTTCGCCCTATTCTCTGCAGGAGAAGCATCTCCTGAGCTGCAAGAATCCACATGTACAACCCCAGCCGAAGCTGATGTCGGATAACAGACATCATTGGGCATTCACAGGTGTCAGAGACTCAGCTTTTGATGCAAATCTCCATTGTGCTTGATGTCACTCTCCAGGGCTTGGTGCATTCAGCCACCACGTTCCTGGTTCACCTTCCACCAGGGCCTGGCTGCAGCTGTGATGTGAGGGTGAGGACAACTGCCCTGGGCTGGGCCAGTCCAATCCCTCTGGCTATGGCAGGTCCATATCATCTGGAATGTAGTGCAGAGGTCAACACAACGCACCCCGACTGCATCATCATTTGGAAAGACACGGGTCAGCTCACCCTTGGATACCATGCCCTCGAGAAGCCAAGAACTTCGCCTAATAAAATACAAGCATCAGCTATAAGCCTTGCTGAGATGTAAATACATCTGCATCCAGCTGGCATGGCCCTTGAAAATGTGCGTTCCTGATGGTGATCCCACCTGGAGAGTATCAACTATTGAGTTCAGCTTGGGGATGTATTTCTTCTGTTACAAAACCATTCCTTCCTGCACATGGACACGTTCTGTTGTGGCCACCAGAAAGGGAACGCTAGATGGTAAAATAATTGGGGAGAAGAAGAAAACTACAAATGACAGCAAAGGGCTCCGTTACTTAGTGTAGGCTGGGAATAAACCAGGCTGCTGAAAAAATTCCCAACGAAGTACAGTGCACAGGAGGCATTTGGAAGATAGCTTTGCATCAGGACCTTCAGCCATTACAGACCAGCATAACATTAACTCTTAGAATGTTATTGTGCATCTTGCTATATTTTGTGCCTGTCCACCTGCTTGTTATACGAGTATCTCAGCTTTCTGCTGGAAGATAATAGTTCCCCAAACAGCAAACCAACAAAATTTGGCTTCTTGCCGATCTGTGTCTCAATCCCGTGTGGGTTCTCTGAGGTCTAATACGGGTTATGTTCAAACATCAGCCTTGTTTTCTCTTTTCTCCAGACTATTTTTGGAAAATCTGTAGGAAACTACATAACCGTGAAACAGACAAAGGATTAAAAAATTACTAAAGTGGCGCCAGTAAACAGAGACACAGAGAAAAAGATTCACGTGAGCCTAATTCTCCCTAGAAAACCAGGCTAAACATGGCAAGAGATTACACCGTGTGGCCATGGGGAAATACTAGAAAACAGTAAATAAGTGTACCCAAGGGGCTCTGGAGCCAGAAAAGAAGAAATCCAGTATCTTCTCAGCAGCTCAGGAAGATCTCATTACCTTTGAGCAATTCTGGTGGTTTACGAAAGATGGGAATCCCTCCAGGTGATTTTTGTACACGTGGATTCAGTGGTACTATAAGCATAATGCCTCCCTTTCCCCTTTAAAATCACCATTGAGTCGCAGCCAAAATCTACATCAAATAAACTTCCTTTGAAAAGAGAAGGGATTGGAACAGCTGGTCAGGAAAGAACTAATTTCCTTGAAAAATCTCCAAGAAGGAAAGCATTTCACTATTTTTTTCATCTTAGAAGTTGTTGAGGTGCTTGATTATCATTTTCCAAAGAAAAAGCCAAATTATTTTCACAGTAATTTTTGTCCTGTGAGAAAATCCCTTCTTCTTTGAAGATAATTCAGTACAAAATTGTTAACATAATCCAGGAAGAATTTAGCAGAGCAGAGGTAGTCCAAAGGTAACAGTTAAAACTCTTGACTGATTTGAGTTGTGTCTGTGACTAATGACAAAATATCATCTTTCCTGGGATCTTTCCACCAGAAAACCAAAATCTGAAAGTTTTTCATCAAAGAAAAAGGAGAAAATTCCTAACAGTCCCTCAGAAATGTTAAGAGTTGGACTAGCTCTTGAATAAGAAGGTCCCTCAAAATGGGTATGATAAGAAGAAATGTCAAGTATGGGTATACTTCTCTTTTTAGATAAAAACAGAAGATGTGGAGTTGAAACCAGGCAAAGCGTAAGTCTTATTTTCTGACAATAATCAAATTTGCTACTGAATATTGAGTATTTCTTAAGAGTTTGTGTAACACCCAGCTCCACTATCCACATTATTTTCACTGTTGGTTTGTAATCAGACATCCAAAACACCAGTACAGAGCAGTCTTGAGACCTGTTCTCCTTTTTCATCCGTATTTTTTTGAGCTATATTCTTCACTACTTGTTTGGTGGTTTTGGTTTGTTTTTTTTCACTTTCCATGAGTTTTGGACTGGAGCTTCTCTCTTTCACTGGTTTAAGTTTCCAAAAGTCCTCTTCTGCTTCCCTAGTAAGAGCATTTGTGTGATTTTTCCCTCTCAGCTGCAGACAAAGGTGATCCTTGTGAACATTAATAAACAGGAATCACTGGTGCTTGAGACGGGGAAGGAACAGACTTTGTTCCCAGGGCACACTGAGGCTCCACGCAATGGGTGGCTCTCCCTAATCACAGCCCTGATGGGGCGATATCGGATGGGTGCGTCCCTTGCGTGCGCCACCCAGTGCTGAGTCAGATAACATCTGCAGAGTGCAACCTCGTTAAAATCATTCCTGGAGCCCCGTCAGAGCAGAGGGAGCTCCTTGACCTCAAGAGATCTCACCTGGAGGAGAAGCATCCTCTCCTGCTTCAAAGTATGCTTGATGATGGCAAAGGATGTGTTTTGGACACTACTTGATACTGGCTCAGAGAAGATGATGTAGGCTTAGGGCATGCCCTTTAGTGAATGAAGGGCATTTGGGCCCCAATGAAGAAGTAGAAGGCAAAGGACTGGATTTCTTTCTAAAAGAGGTGCTATAATTCCACAGCATCACTAAACTCAGGGATGAAGTTGCCGAGGGGAGCTTTCTGAGCTGACCTTCTGGCCACACAGCTGAGACATCCCAGCTGCTCTTGAAAGCCTGAGGGTCTACAAAATAATGAGAAAGTATCACCTGAATATACATGCAGCCCATGCAGTTTGATGTGGGTGGGTGTCCAAGACCTGGGAAACCCAAACATTCCCAGGGCTCAGAGCCCACAGGAACCGCGATCCACCGGCAGGCTGGGCTATGTTGGGCATGGAGGTCACTGGGCTTCAAGTACACTAATTGTTTAATTTGCGATTGTTATTAATACTGAGGATTAAGGAGGCTCCCCGGGAAAAAGCAGCAAAGTGTTTTCTTGGCTTCCGTCTCAGGGCTGGAGCTCTAAATCCTGGCATTATGAGATCCCTTGACACTTATTCCTTGTACTTAGCAGCCGGGAAAGGAAACGTTTATTCAGGCAGCAAATTGCCCGAGCGGCTCCCGGTGGGCCCTAAACAATGCGGGGGGAAGGAAAGGCTCCCCCAGTCGTACTCAGGGTAATAATTTCCGTTTCGTGGCACAGGAGCCGCTGTCTGATAATGGAGATTTATGGGTCCATCCGGTGACCTCTGTAATAGCCTTTCTGCTGGAAAGATTTACTCCCTCTCCCAAAGCCAGGTACGGCCGCACTGGGACAGGGTTGAGGAAAGGATAACGTTTGCTTGGTTAGGCTGAGAAGGACATCAGCCCATGGCTGGAGCGGCCTCATGTGTGCTGAACAGCCTCATCTTCCTCTTTGAACATACAGCTCCTCCAAGTGCCTTTGCCCAGCCCTTATCTTGGATAATATCAGTCTTGGGATCAGTCATGAAAGTAGATCATGAAATCTTGCTGAATGACCTAGCCGGTGTGGAGGATGGACTGGGTCTTGTCCCTGTCCTGGTCATTGGCTTGCTGTGTAAAAGGAGAACTTTTTCCCCTCGCACCTATAGTTTATGAGGACTGCAAAGTCCCCAGGGCAGGAAATGTCACTTGTGTGTTGCACAACAGTCTCCTAATCTTGGGTGAGGCCTTGAGCATGCTAATGTCAGAAATACTTTCCACAATGGGACATTCAGTCCCCAGGGAGCCAGGAGCAACTCCTAAGTAGGGCACTGGGGTCTGGTAGGGAAAAAGCAGTCTTGGATATGGCCCTTCGTGGCTCTTAGTCATTGGGAGTGGTCCTTCACACTGACCGCCAGGTCCACAGAGATCAACTGGTACGGACAATGCAGGGCTCAACAAGAAATCAGATCTGAGCACCGCCAGCCAGCCCACACCTTTTCCAGCATGGCTAGGACATGACAGCATCTCTGACCAAGGACATGGCCCACCCAAAGTCTGAGTACTTTTGCCTTCCCAACCAGGAGAATCAGATAGCCTCTCACAACCAAGTCAGCTGGAGATCAGAGGGAGGCTGCCCAGGGCTTGAGTCTGAAAAGTGGCTTGAACTGCCTTCTCTGGGTCTCTCCCCTATCTCTGCAAACTTCAACTCTGCCAGCCTGACAGCGTGCCCATTCCTAGGTTCAGACCTTCTGGGTTTATTTGGGC